AAGGTAAATAATCTATTTCAATTAATAAAAGACGGAAAAGGACATTTCAAATATTTTCTATAGCCAAAAAGAAAATTAAAAATATATTATTATTTCATCGAATCAGGAATGCCATCAAATAAAATATCATACACAATAAAAGGTACATTCGACGTTATTTAAAAGCTGGCAATAAGGCTTCAGTCGGCTAAGCGTACATTGATTCTACTTTAGTAAGTTTGGGAACCTACAAAAAACAATTTTCAACGCATTTTTTTTAGGAATTACTGAAATCACCGTAATGTGTACGTCACCAAATAAAATGGCACAAAATTCCAACAAAAACAAAACAGAAAAGATGAAATCAATTATTGTGCGATTAAAAAACATAAAAATTATATTGCATAGAGTAACAAAGATATGGCTTTCAAAACTCTTTCATATAAAAAATAATCTCAAATAAATAAATTACCAAAAAAATAAATGAATGAATGTACAATATTTACATCAATTATTTATAGGGAAATTGCATTTTAAAAATAATTTGGAGAAATCACGGAAATTGAAAATTTGTTCTCGTTATGTTATAAGATCTATGAAAAGCGAGAGACAATAGAAAAATAAAAATTAAAACAGTCTGTATTTTTCGTTTCATAGTAAAATATAAAAAATCCCCACGCTTTATTCCCTTGTTGGACATGGTGTTTTCATCTCTTTCCCACACTATCTTCATTCATATTAGAATTGAGTGTACGAAAGAGATAAACTTTATAATGACAAATATCGTATCGATAAAAACTTACATTAATACATCTTAATTACTAAATGCTTAATGGCGACATCTAGTATATTAAATATAATACTTATAGATAGTTACATTGATTTCACTTCTCGATTATCCGACACGAATTCATCGTAATTCCTATATATACTCACGAAAGCTGCGCCTTTGAGATACATTGTACACAAAATAAATAAATGATTTAATATGCAGAAATATTGCACTACCTGCCGCAATATACATAAATATGATACTTGGTTCAACGAACAAATTAAATAAAAGAACAAATAAGGAATATAGATACAAGTGTTTCCGAGCTTCCTCGAAGCATGGATACGATGTTTGACGAAAGTAAACCCTTTATATTGGAAAAGTAATATAATATTCGCGAACCAAAACGACCTACAACTGTTTAACCTATAAATACTTATATACCAAATAGGCCATTCGCTGCACAATATTGATCGTATGCGATCAATCCCCTACCGAGACATCTCTTGTTATTTGAATAATCAAAATCGTTCTTTAGTATTAAAATAAAAATAAGGCTAAAATCATGAGACTCCTAAATTTGCGAATAATACTAATTATATTAAAATATCAATATGATGATTAATACATACCTTCCGATAATAAAAATAAAAAAAATCCTAAAAGAATAAAATTTAGATTCATAAGCTGGGTAAGAGGTAACTTTACATTAAATATGTAGAATTTTAAATAAATTGTAATTTCAACAAATTAATAAATTATACAATTTGTACTCAGGAAGCAGAAATATTACTAATAATACCAAATATATTTGTATAGAATTATTTTTTTAAATAATATATTTTCCTAAATAAAGTAATTTTTTAAAATTTTGCTTCGTACAACATAAACAGAAAAGAAAATTTAATTAAAATTCTTTTTAAATAGCAATTAATACAATAATTAAAATAGGTAACTTTTGTATGTATTGTGTACAGTATCAAGACATTAAAAAAGATTATAAGAATTACTAAAAAATATATTTAAGAAATAAAAATGCCCAATATGAAAGCATATTGTTCAATTTGTTGTCTTCAGTACCACTTCTACGTACAAACATTTATCTGAAATATTTGCTCAAGAAACTTAACCCATATTTATAAAAATTATAAATAGAAAAATAATTAAAAATTTAAAATATATAAAATTAAAAAATGTATTCGCCTAATTTATAATGCAAGTAGCCACCACGTAAACTATAAAATGGCGCTTTATAATAAAACATAAATAAGTAGGTTGTCAGTTACATTTTTTTATCACGCTACACTAATAACTACCGAATGACAAAAATTTTACGTTTACAAATTATCACTCAATTATGTATCAATATTTACTATCTAGCGAATAATCTGGCCGACACACTAGCTAGACTGACATTTTTAGTCCGAGGCAAGACTATGCATTTTTTGTCGACATGCACTAATGCAATAATTGTCGAGCTCATTCAAAGTTTTTTTTTATTGTGAACTGTGTAATATAATATATAAACGATCAAAATATAGTTTGACGTTTTCTTCGGGCATAATATGCATATATTAAAATGAAAAATTTCACAAAATCCATTATTACTAAAATTGTTTATACAGTATAATATAATAAATGATATTATAATCAATGCAGTTTTTCATTTATAAAATATCAAGCGAATATATAAATAAAACAACGTTTGAATAATACATACAAGCTCTTACGATATACCTCTTGCACATATATTAAAAAGTTACACAAATATCACTATGTGTTAGTTAATATCAATAACAATTACATAATAATTAATTACTTTTCGACTGAACGGAATGTGCTCGTACGTGGTGTTGCCATTAATTGATTATACAAATATTTTTAGGTATATACCAATACTTATTTTAAAACTCCCGTTAAATACTTTTGTGCACGAATTTCAACCTTACACCTATCAGAAATGCGATATATTTTGAGTAACACCTAAGTTTAAAATACTAATCGAATTTCTCGACGACGAATCACGTGGCTCGTTGACTCAATCACACTTCCAATTGCAATTCGTTTTTATTATAAAAGCGCTAAACATCAAAATGCAAGCAACCTGTAAACATCGCGATGTATCACTAAGCACATTATGATATGACAACACTTGTAAAAATAAACCGTATTTTTCGAGTAACATCACTGAAATAACGGCTGAATTTGTTGACCGTTATAACTACTTTAGAACAACAATAGCTTGCAATTTAAAGTAAAGGCACACGCGGTAGCGTCTACCCACGAATTGCCTTTACAGTTTCACCCAAACTATCAAAAAAACTGACAGTGTTTTTGACAGATGTCAGTCCATTGACAGTCGACGCAAAATAGCCAAACTTACGCACTACGACGTGTCAACGTATAACATCACAAATGGTTGCAAGTTCCATAGAAAAGTTACGACCCGTTATTATATTCAATGATGACGTCACCGTACGCAGTCAACGTCAGACGTCGTCCATCACGAATGCAACCTGCATTGTGGGTTCCTGGAACATTTCATTCGAATCAATAAAGCTCGCATCGTCACTAAAGTATCGCTTCTTTAAAATAATAATTTATACATAATTTGCACAGATCTTATCACGGTGCGGCAGTGGGTAGTGGTGGTAACTCAGCAAATTCTACAGTACGCGAGCAGGTTGCTCCTGAGTTGAATCCTTGCCGGTAACAATGAAATTGTTACTTATAATTTTAAGTGCTGATATTCCACATGCCCGATCCCATTACGGGATATGAGATTTATTTAATTTGGAGATTATTCTTGAAATACCAATCATTCTAACTTGGGATTTTTCTTGAACTACCAATAATTATCGCTTGGAAAGGAGATTAACCCTTCAGCCCCTAAGCGCTCGAATTCGACAGCGCACACGCACAGCACTTTAAACCATTAAAACTTATATTTAGAGACTACTTTTCTACGAAGAAGTTTGGCATTATAGAATTAATATGAAATTTCCTATCCTGTAGTGCAATACAAAATAGTTATGCTATGGATATTTATTTATAATCTACGTTCATTTCATACGCCATTTTCGCGTGAATGTTATTGTGTTGATTTTTGGATTTTTCTAGTGTTTTAGTATAGTGTTTTATTATAAAATTGTAGCGAAAGTTTTTGTGTGAAAAGTAGTCTCCAAATATAAGTTTTAATGGTTTTAAGTGCTGCGGGTGGATGTCGTCGCATGCGCCCGGCAAATGCCGGGCGCATGCGACTGCATGAGAATTTTATGGAGACTGAGGGGTTAACCCATATGAAACTTAAAAGGATAACTTAATTTATAACATACGAAATGGTTTACTATGCTGCCATCTGTCTATCTACAAAAGGCCACGAGGTATTTTCGGCCTTTCTAGTTACGTATTGTTTCGCTGCCACAATTTTTTTTTAGTCAAGGCAAGGGTGACAAATAACAGGGTCACAGGGTCCACCTGGTCACTAGGTCTTTCTGGTCTTTCCCATAGACGCTCTTACAAATAACAACAGCTGCATGACGTGAATGTATTCTTTTAAACTATTAACGGGAAAATGAACAACTGAAGTAAAAACTGAGGTAAAAACAAAGACATTTGAGTATGTAGTAGTAATGACCGGACATCATCAACAAAATTGTAGTCTGTAACTTTTGTCCTACAAGATATATCTCCGATTTTTTTAATTTAGTCTCAGTGACATCACCGAAAGGCCAAGACGCATTCGTTTCATAAATTAAAAATATTTTTAAAGAAAATATGCCCGGTTGTGCATTAAGGTACAGTAAGTCACGATATGGAGCAAAAAATGAACATGATTTCGGTTTATTATGCTAAGAATAATGTATATTTACCAAATAATCTTTAAATTTTATTATTTCTAGTAGATTGTTCTAGAAGAAAGAAAAATTATTGTAAGTGTCCTCTGTTATCCAGTAACGTCACTATTTATTTACAAATATGCTAGTAATTGACGACGTGCCTAAAACTGATTTTTTCCTTATGTTTAGAAGCGTCACCTAATGGGAAATAGCTAAAATGTTTTCCAAATATATATTCAGCGTAGTATTGCTATTTTTCGCTAGAGGGCTTAACACACGCGCTTGCTCACAGTTTTTATATGCAAATGTTTCCAATGTCCGCTCTATAGTATATATTTAAATCTCTTTGGGTAAAAATATATCGTTTAAACCTAATTGTGTATTATATTTTTGTTACTCACACACGTTCCTCACACCATGACGAATGCCTCCTGTCCGCGAAAAAGGAACGGATGCTGGTCGATCATCGTCTGTACAATGTCCTCTAGGTACGGCCGCGTCATCTCGAACCGGCCCATGTCCGAGAACTGAACGGGGAGCAACGTCGGCCACCAACAGATCGCCAGGTTCTTGCTGTCCATGGAATTCAACTTAGAATTGTCTGCAACCCTGAAAAACGTATATAAAAAAGTGAAAAATAAAGCTTGACGTCTAAGCAGTGCAGTGACTAAGTGTTTCGTTGGTGTTCCGTGTTCCTGGATCGACTATCGCACGTAACGGGTATACATATGATACTGCCAACAAATAACACCACTTACTTAACCAGAAGAAAATGAGCAGTAAAAACTGCGATTAAAGATAGTAAAAGTTATATTGATGTATGATTTGTTATGTATTGTGTGAAATGTGACGTAACGTGTGATATTTGACGTGTATGGTGTATTATTATGCTATGTATGATGTGTGTCGTACGGTATGTAGTTTTTGGTGTGCGATATGTGGTATGCGATTTGTGGTGTTTAGTATGTGATGTGTGATATATGTGTTGTATGATGTGTATGTGGTGTGTAGTACGTGATGTATGGGTGTGAGATGGTTAGTGTGTAATTTGTGGTATGTAAAGTATGATGTGTGGTGTGTGGTGTGTGATATGTGGTGTGTGACGTGTGGTGTGTGACGTGTGAAGTGAGATGTGATATGTGGTGCGTGGTATGTGATGTGGTGTGGTGTGATATGTGATACGTGGTGTGATATGTGGTATGTGATACGTGGTGTGTGATATGAGATGTGTGACGTGTGAGGTGCAATGTGATATGTGGTGCGTGGTATGTGGTGTGGTGTGATATGTGGTATGTGATAGGTGGTGTGTGATGTGTGATGTGTGACGTGCGAAGTGCGATGTGATATGTGGTGCGTGGTGTGATACGTGGTATGTGATACGTGGTGTGCGATGTGTGATGTATGACGTGTGAAGTGCGATGTATGACACGTGGTATGTGACATGTGGTGTGTCATGTGGTGTGTGACATGTGGTGTGTGACATGTGGTGTGTGACATGTGGTGTGTGACATGTGGTGTGTGACATGTGGTGTGTGACATATGGTGTGTGACATATGGTGATATGTGCTGTGTTATGTCAGCCAGCTGCGGTCCTTCAGCTCCATATGTGTGGTGTGTGAGGTGTGATGTGACTTCACCTGGCGAAGTGGTGCAGCAGGTAGTCGAGAGTGGCGCGCGCGGCGGGCGTGAGCGCGGAGCCAAGCAGGCCGCGCAGCGCCAGCAGCCGCCAGCTGCGGTCCTTCAACTCCACGCCGCCCGCGATGCAGCCGCGCATCGCTGCACCACCATGCACCATTTTTTATAGAATAAGGTTAACAAACAAGCACACAATTTTCATGATGGTAAGTGGATGCTGTGCTCCATAAACATCTACATATATCCTCGATTAAGAATCAAAATGCAGATGTGTTGTGACACCTAAAGACTAAGGTGGAATAGCTGGTTTCCAGTAAAAAGGGGTCTCCGGTTTTCTACACTCACCATATGAAACAGCAGTTAAAAAATCAATGCATCATGCACAGATCACATTGTCAATGATGATAGCAGTGCCAATGGCACGCACCTTGGTTGTTTTTACGTCATCAGCGATTAAGGATATGTGTGGAAGTGCCGACGCAATAAGACTCATCGACCAAATAGCTACAGATTCCTTGCTACAACATATCCCATCCGCAGAGATCGTGATCCAAGGCAACTTTAATGCCCACCACGCCGAATGGCTAAGTTCACGTTTAACCGATCATGAGGGGGTATCTGTTTATGACTTTGCCTTTGCATACGGTCTGAACTTTATACTTCGCCTAAGAGAATTCCAAATGTGGAAGATCATACACCTCCCCTGTTGGACTTTCTGCCACTTTTGACTCATCCGGACGGATATCAGTTTCATTGTCTGATCTGGTGTGTGGTTCCACTCACGCTCCTTTCGCCGTTGCGTTCTGCACGCTACGGCCGTATTTGGCATTGCAGGTCGGCAGATTCAGACGGAATGCAGTCTTTCTTTGCATTCTGTCCATGGGTTTGCTTCTCGCCGGATGATCCCAGTTCTGAAGGTGCTTCAAGGGAACGGAACTATTTATTCCATCATTTGTTACAGCCATCGAAAGCAGATCTCAGCATTGATGTAATCGCTCCTATAAGACTGCATGGAAGAGAACTTACTGGCCCACGCTGAAAAAGAGAAAGCCGACCTTTTAGGCTCCCTTTTTCTGTCTAACTCTACTCTCGATGACAGGAGAACGACACTGCCGACTATCCCGCGGTGTGAGTGCTCTATGCCTGATGTCCTATTCACACAGTGCTCAGTAGGTACGCAAAGCACTCTTCTCCGTGGACATCCGAAAGTCGAGTGGACCTAACGAAATCCCCCAATTCTGCATAGGACACGTAATCCAGAGTTGGCACCGGTTCTAATGCGTCTCTTCCGATACTCCTACTCCCTAGGCGTAGTCCTGAAGACAGCTCGGGTCCACCCGATCCCTAAAAAAGGTAACCGCTCTGATCCGTCCAACTACAAGATTATCCTCCTTTTTCTCGGAAATAATGGAGTTCATTATTAACTGCCAGTCATGTGGTACCTTGAAGAGCACCAACTGATTAGTACGATTTTCGCCAGACGCCAGTACGATTTTCGTCGAAGTCGCTCAGCCAGTGATCTTCTTATTTACCTAACACACCGATGAGCGCAGGCGGTCGAGTCTATGGGGAGGCCTTGGCGGTTAGTTTGGAGTTTAGACATAGCAGAGGACTTCAATCGGATGTGGCACAAAGCGCTTCTTTCGGAGCTTCCATTATATAGGTTGTCCGAGAAATTAAGCGATTGGATCATCTGGGGGCACGGCAGTAGCCCCGCAAGTCGAGCAAAAAAGCGGCACGGCCGTACCATACTTTTCTCGAAGCAGTTCAGGCTATTTAGCGAGCCCCTATAACTTCGTTGTGGATAAAACTAGAAGCCTGAATTTCTTACCAAGCAGGCATTGTACAAATATGTTATATTTTAAATTTCATTCAATTTGAACCTGTAGTTTAAGATTTATAACTAGTCAAAGTTTCCTAATTTTGTCACTCACTGACTGACCGATCATCAAAACTCTAAGGCACTTCTAGCATACATGGAAGCTTCGAATTTAGAATACAATTAGTGTTTAGTTGTATAAATCAAGAAAAAACTAAAATATTTTTCAATTTCGATCCAGTTCTCTAGATACACCAACTGCATAAATAAATTTGTTATTCCATATAAATATACAGGATTACAAAGTTACATTTGCAGTGAATCATTGTACCTGTATAATGATAATAGGTGTATATACGTGTGCATGTACGTTGTTGGTATTCAAGATGTAGAAGGTATTGGAAATGAAAAAAGTAAGACTATCTACAAAAAGAAATGAGATGTCATCAAACACATAACTTGTAAAAAACACAAGTCTCGCAACTCAGTTCTTCTACTGTAAAAAGTTGTGAGATCTATGTAACACCAAGTCGGTTAATTTATTCAGTCCCCACTTAAGGGTCCTTCTGTTTTAAGTTATTACGAAATTAGCTAACCTAACAACATCTTATGGTGACCATATCAATATTAAAAATCTTTTATGTTTTAAATAAATAGATTGACTTGGCAATCGCACTAAACAATCTAACTTATGTCCAGTTTACACGGGCTTTGTAGCTAAGTGCTTAGTACTTGTCACTATACTAAGCCTCAATATGACAAGTGAAAAGTAACCGTTTACACGTTGGAGCCAGTAAAAGTTATTAGTGACCAGACATTTGAAATGGAGCGACGCCGCCTGATTTTGCAGTGTGTTTAAGCAATATTCAAACATTATTATTTCAAGCATGATCGAAGAGCTTGAAAGACAAATATTAAAAAGAAAACGTTTGTGGACAAGACAGTGATTACTGCGCAGAGATAAACGGGGCCATTCTGCTCTTCTATTAAAAGAACTAGCAACCGAAGATCCAGGAGAATATAGAGTAACTATGAGAATGTCAACGGCACAATTTGATATTTTATTAGAAAAAGTTGCACCAGCAATTCAACGACAAGACACAAATATGGGAACAACTTGTCACAAACTAACTTGTCGAGCTATTAACAGACAGTCAGCAAGCGACAAGTGCTTAGTAAATCGTGGTGGGGGTATCGACTTATCGACACTTGCACTATTCACAAATACTAATACTAAGCACTAATCAGCATGTTTACACATGAGGACTTAGTATTAGTGACAAGTACTAAGCGCTTAGCTACGAAGCGCGCGTAAACCGCCCATTAATGTAATATGTATTACTTGTGAGATACATTGTGTTTTCATGCCATATTCCGTCAAATCCCAAGCGGTCTCATGAGACCGCACCCACCCACAGCATTTTAAACCCATAAAACTTATATTTACAGACTACTTTTCTATAAGGAAGTTTGGCATTATAGGCTCAATGTGAAATTTCATATCCTCTAATGCAATAAAAAATTGTTAGTTTATGGTTTTTTATTTTTAATCTACGTTCATTTCGCACGCCTATTTCGTGTGGCGTGTTATTGTGTTGATTTTTAGATTTTTCTAATGTTTTATTACTGTTTAGTATAGTGTTTTATTATAAAATTGTTATAAAAGTTTTTGTGTGAATATAATTTATATTTTTACGTAAATAATTTCGAGTAATATATAGAAATAATTGTGATATTCAAACTGCCATTATGTGCTAGGTAAGTACATTTTTAACTATGAAAATACAGTTAAAATTTATTTGTAATGAAGTAAAAGCACTAAAACAAGTAATATAACATAATAAATAAACAGAAACAAGTAGTATTGTTGAAAATAAATGTACAAGTTCAAGGTTAGGTTATTTTTAGCAACGCCGCGTCACGCCAAGCGAGCAAGCTTGGCGTGCTTTGTGGTGGGCCCAAGGGCGAACCCAGTCGCACTTTAAGCCTACTGTCAAAAAAAGGCTCATCAGCTCTTTTTAAGTTGCCTACAGATATATGAACGTTTTCTAGATGAGTGTCCCGCTGTACATTCAGTTTACAATTATAAATATTTCGCTAGATTAGTCTATTAAGATAGTTTGAAACCGCTGTCAAATTAATATTACGGTATATAGCTATATCCCAGGGATATAAATTTATCGCGGCTTTAACCATCTTACTGAGACATATATATTAAAACTTAAATATTAAATTTGGATACACTTAGAAAAATACCCTGCATACTTTTACGGTTTTGTTTCTTTGAATATAGCTTATCAATTTGGATTTTATTGTATCTTTTTGCAACCCTATAAATACACTTTCAATTTTTATAACACTGGAATAATAAACAAACAACTTATACTAGGTGATTACTGCAACCCATAAACACATGCATTTCAAACAAAAGAAGATGGTTAGATGGACCCGGTACAGAGGTTTTTTCCGAACCAGTGATAAATTTAAACGTAAGAATGACTTTAAGTATTATTTGTAATCTATAATGAATAAAATATTATATGTCTGTTTTTACACAAGCACTGTATACAAGCTCTCTTAAGTTCAAACTGAAATAACAAAAAAAAAACACTCTGCATGGCGTAATATCTGAACAACATAAATATAAAAATATTAAATTCTCATATAGATCAGGTAAATTATATTTCATACAAAGGCAGCTTTCGTTAAAGCTTTTTGTTGTGATGTTTTATACTACTGTATTACTCACCAGCAATATCTTCTAACTGCGACATGCTGGCTTCATCCAGTAACGGTGGCAGTTTCTTCGAGAAGAAGTCCTTGAGCGCAGTGGCGACGGCGTTCACTGGGATATCTAGCGAATCTAAATCTACATTTGGATCTGAAATACAAAATAATGCTTTTTAGTCAGCAATTGGACTTAAGCCTTTTCAAAAATGCGCCAGCAAGATTACCGAAAGAACGTACGTCTTTTTTTCTGTCTCAAAATAACAATTAAAACCTATAAAACCAATTAAAATTAAAAATATGATTAGGAATATTGAATATACTGAAACAGGAGTCAGGCAGTAGCAACTTCGTGATAACAACTCAAAATAATTTAAACCTACGGTTACCAGCCCGCCCGCCAAGTGTGGCACCATAGAATACTATAATACACAATAGAATGGCTGTCAACCTTATTTTGTACGACGATAGGCGTCGCCGGGAGCACACATCATAAAAGCAATTACGTAGAATTATTACTACTAAAAACCCGCTACAAAATTCGCTGTGTTGACAGACAGATTTTAATACATTTGTAAATAGCGTGCAATTTGGCATTTTCTAAATAATTTGTATGAGAAATTTGGAAACGATTGTAACATCAAAACACATCTCGTGTTGACAGTTATACGTGTGAATTGACATGTTAGTGACATTTTAGTGGCTACACGGGCTCCGCCCACTCCCTCGTTCTATTATGTATGTATTATAGTATTCTATGGTGGCAACTTTGGCATAATCCTCCCAATGGGGCAATCTGGAAGGCCTATGTTAAACAGTGGGCTTCAATAGGCTGTTTTGAATGAACGGATGAATAATTGAAAATATATTCATATGGGTTAATAGCTGCGAGGTGCGATGCTATACAATGGCTAATAAGCCAATTTTTTCCTTAACTAATTATATTTACTAGCTCAACTTACACCAACGTTATTAACATTAAAATAATTGTAAATAATAGTAATAAAAAATAAAAAATCCCACAAATGAGATACAATGAAAATGAACAAATATTGCATGTATGCTATCATTAGAGCGTTAGAAAACTCATTATTATCCGACAAATAAATAAAAAATGGACATGCTTGAAACTTATTTCGCGCTTCCAGATATCTATAAACAAATACATCAAAAAAGTAAAAGTAAGTAATAAGTTGTGTTATTGAAATAATATAAAAATATTTTTCAACAACTAAAACGTTAACGCCCTTCCCAACACTGATCAGGTGTACAAGGGATTAAAAGTTAAAAAATCAAGAGTGCAGTACCTTCATAGAACTTATTGAAGAGCATGTCGACATGTGCCCTGTTGCCGGGGACTCTGTAAAGTCCCTCTGAAGCGAGCCCCTCTCTTTCTATGAACTCCACGCACTTCTCGACGAATAACGGCACTCCGTGAGACCCCTTCAAATTAAATAAATTTAATAACTATGTAGAGCCGTGGTAACACAGGGGATAAACGCAACTCAGGTTCGATCCCCGGCAGCACCAATAAAATGGTTAATCATTTCAATTGTGCTGATTTACAACGTGAGGAGACGGAAAACATCGTGAGAAAACCTGCATATCTCACATAGAAGAGGATAGAAATCAGCGCATCCTCATGAAAATTTTAAGCTAGCGATTTTCCGTTGAATTCTAAATTTATTGATTGTATATCTAAGCTAAGCTATCATGCGGTTCAGGTTTTTAGAAAGTTACCAATTTTAATAAAAATGGTTCTACTATAGATAGATTTCAGGAATGTATAAATCAATAGATAACATTACACGCACCTGTGGTCCCCAGTTTTGTATTGATTGCGTATTCGTTATTTGCGAAGAGTTTTTCTTGGAGTCTTTGCTTTTAGAGAATTCCTGTAATAAACATTGAATAATTCAATATACTAGAATTGATAAACACATATTTTTGTATGTGTTTATTAATTCTTCTAACGTCAACTTCACGTATACAGGCTGTAACTTTTCTTTAGTAATTTGTATATAACATTTATTAAAATAACGATTTTTGGTTTATTTCAAAGAATTTAAATGCTTCCGGCTGACATTGTCCAGTGGATTAGTAAATTAAAGTGGTAATGGGTCGGTCATATAGCTCGAAGAACCGACAGCCGGGGAAGAAAGGTTTTCGCAGACAACCAGAGAAGAAAGGTTCTTGGATAACACCGTATTGCAAATGTTGGGGAATCATCCCACGATGGAGCGACGACCTGATGAAATTGCAATATCGACAGACACAGGTGGCTCTAGACTGTGGTTATATATCAGGGAAATCTATGTTCTATTGTATGATTTTTTTTTTGAAATAACCTAAGTGGAAAACGACCTTATATTCCACCAAAGGACCAATTTACTTTTCAGATCACTTTCATATATTTGTTTTCATTTTTAAGCTATTGCATAGCTTCTATCGCGGGCCTTGAGCGCGGGGACCGAATCCAGAAATTCCGTAACGAAAAAAACCTCACGCTCCCCACTCCGACGGGCACGGAGGTGTGGCGTTGAAAGCCGTGCATCGTCTAACGTCGTTTCAGTTCGGCAGACTTCGGCACGGTGTTTGTGTGCGTGCGACTAGACGTATGCGTGTACACTAGCTGCTAACTCAACGATAAAAATTCCTGAATAACCTACATGTATTGTAAGATATTAAAAATATTTTAAACAATATTAACTTCTCATTTATTCAATAAGAGAAAAAAAATTGTTTTCTTATCGGTCACCACGCTCAAAAAGTGTAACTTGATTTAATATCAAAGACTTAACTGCATAAATAAAATAAATAAATAATTATAATTGCATAAGTTGATAAAAATGCTATGCAATAGCTTTACCGCGGCAGTCACCGAGTGCCACACGTATTTTTTTTTTCATTTCAAAGAACACAAAATAATAGCTATTTTTCTCAGCCTAAAACAAGAATTAGAAAATTTTAAGGCAATTTGTAGAAATTAAAAATAAAAATTCTTTTGCTGAATTTTTTCGTACTTGATTTTTATCGTATTTAATTTTTAATTATTTTTAGATCCCGACGTTTCAGGTTTACTGTACCCCTGATTCCCCCCGTGAATCAGGGGTACAGTAAACCTGATTGCAATATTTTTCGTTCCAATGTCATAATTAAGCTGATCGATTTTCAGCTTTAGAATATTAAATTTTGGTTCGATTTATGAAGTTAGCTTAGGGTGTTAACACCAAACAATGGATCGTCGATTGATGGCATCGATCGATAGTGGAATGGATTAGTCGACGTCGATCGATAGTTTCTACTGCACCGATCGATCTGATAGTTATACTGGGTGGCGATTAGATTATCACATCAAATAACACAGCGGTAAATAAGTATATGTATATATCTGTTAAAATAATAAAATGAACAATAATACCAATATAAAAAATGCGTCTTTCAAACAACATAAATAGCGTAAAATTTTAACACGATATAAATCACCTTGATAATATTAGTTTACTGACCTGAAGTGACCTGCAAAACTGGCAACGGTACGGACACGCGCAGTGCTCACGCGTCACCGTCATAGGTATTTATTTACCTACACTTTTTCATACATAGGTAATTAGGCGAAAAACTAAAAATATGCTAACGCGACTAGAATGTTAATTGTTATATTTTTTTAGTTGTTTATGTTCAAAGAACGTTATGTAGGACAAGGTTTTTTCGTTCAATGTGATAACCTCATCGACATTCCGTATAACTTTACTTCGGTACAATTCAGATACATTTAACAACATGCACAACGAATCAAAGAACTCTCTAATATTATTAAATAAAAATTTTGAATAAGCTATTTCGTTAATACTGATTTAAACAATATTTTGTAAAACGAAAGTCGATTGAATATTTGAATATCTGTTGAGAATGGATTAGTCGACATCGATCAAGCTACTTAATTATTCGAGAACCAACCGTCCACTCCCTATGGTTACCCGCCGCCGCCTGCGCCCCGCGCGTTGGCTACCTGACCTGTTTTCAGATGTGTGAGGTTCTCGTTCCAGATATAACGGATTTTAGTGCCGTGACTTGCAAAATGGCGTCGGTAGTTCATGCGATAGTGAAGGTGTACTCGTCGTATTAGTCAATCAACGTCGATCGATGACCAGTATCCATCGATCAGCTAAAGCTACCACACCAATCGATCGACGTCGACCAAAGGCTCGATCGGCGATCGATCGATTTACTACGATTACTGTATCTTCAAGTTTCGCAATACAACATGTGACGGATATCAAAAAACTCAAGTTCCCCCACCCTTGACCATGAGCAACGTCAAAAATTAAAAATAATAAAAATGTAAACGTTATTAAAAGTTTTATTTCATTAGTTTTCGAAATGTAAGAATCATAATTTGTAGGAAGTTAGTATGTGGGTTTAAAGGCGTGCGTACTTGAACCAATTGAAAACTTTACCTTATGTCTTCGATCGTGCTTGCTGAAAGGCTGTGCTCTCCGCCGCGAGTCCGCTGCACTCGACGAAGAGTTGTCTTGCGCAGAGGAAGGATACTCGCCGGACAGCAGCTGTGGTAACCACATTATTATAAGATACTGCTGTAGCTCCTTACGACACCCACGGGATGATGTGGGGGAGTGGATTTTCGTACACCACCACTATACGGCGGTCAGATGTTATTTGTAACAATAAAATCTTCATCCCGTAGCATTTCATTGGTGTATAATGGGCCTCTGGTATTCTTGCGAAAATTGTCTATAAGCGACATTCTTGGCAGCTTTAACGCTTCCCTTATTTTTTCTTTATTTTCTCTTATCCTATTACCGGTCTATATATTTACATCTGGCTAACACCAGGTGATGATATTGCTATTTATTAAGGCCGTAAGATTTTCTGGCATTCCTAATAGTTCCCCACTAACGACACTTACATGATAAAATGGGATAGTAGATTCTCCTGCGTCGCCAATACAAGGCATTGTATTAATAAAATTATTTTTACGAATGTTAGCGTTTAATTTTATTATGTCCCACTCATAGCTTAAAATCTTTATAAAATTAGTTTTATAGATTCGTTATTATAAGCATTATTTTTACATTAAACATAAAATAATTTTAAACATTTTACTTAAATCTATGAGGAAAATAGAAACTTTATATTTTGTATAAATCTTAAAAAAGTATACTATATGGTTGTTTCCAATGAAAATTCTTAGTACTAACCTCGTATGGCATTCGATCCTGTAGCGTGAAAGATTTAACAATGTTTTACTTTATTAAATATAAATTTAAAACTAACAATATTACATATTAAATTTCACTATCGGTATATACAATCCATTGAAAATCAATGCATTATAGAACGAGAGAAAACTGTTTTAACCATATATGTCATGGGTTATGCCCGAAGAAGTACGAGGGTGGATTGAAAAGTACTCGGCCTAACCAAGAAAATAAACACATACTAAATCAGTTATATTTTTATTTTTCTACATAATCACCATCAAGTTCAATACACTTTTGCCACCTCCCCTTCCAAGCATTTAGATCGTTGAAAAAAAATGATTCTTCCTTAGAGTCAAAATATGCGTCTACAGCTGCTTTGACCTCGTCGTTTGTCGAAAATCTTTGACCTCCCAAGTGCTTTTTTAGGTTAGGGAACAGAAAGAAGTCTGATGGTGCCAGATCAGGTGAATACAGCGGATGCGGTAACAGTTCAAAGCCACAGTTGTGAATTTCAGCCATTGACTGTACTGACGTGTGAACACGGGCGTTATCTTGATGAAACAGGACTTTTCTTCTGAGCATTCCTCGACGTTTTTCTTTTATTTCCTCTCGTAAACGTCGTAGTAAGGTGCAGTAGTAATCAGAGTTTATAGTCTGACCCCTTTCAAGATAATCAATCATAATCACACCTTTCGAGTCCCAGACTACTGAAGCCATCACCTTATTTGCCAACAAAATCGACTTAGCCTTTTTAGGGGGTGGTGAACCAGGTCTTCTCCACTGTTTTGATTGTTGTTTTATTTCCGGTGTACAGTAATGAACCCATGTTTCGTCCATAGTAACAAAACGATTCAAAAAATCATCTGCATCGGCTTCAAATAACTCCAAACAGTCGCGTGAAATAGTCAATCGCGTCCTTTTTTGTTCAACTGAAAGCAGTTGCGGAACCCACCTCGCAGACACCTTGTAGAAACTCAACTCGTTGACAATGATGTTTTGAATTCGTTCATAAGAGATGCCTATAATCTCGGCTATTAATTTTTAATCTGCGGTCTCCCATTATTAAATCAAGTACTTTTTTAATATTTTCGTCAGTAGTTGACCTCGAAGGCCTTCCAGAGCGGGGTTCATCTTTCACACTCTCTCTACCACGCTTAAATTCTGCTATCCATTTTTTGACGGATGAATATGACAGAGCACAATCGCCTAATGTACTGACCATGTCATCATGGATGGTTTTTGATGATAGCCCCTTCTTATGGAGGTACTTAATGACGGCACGCTGCTCGATTTGCTCCATTCGCGGAAATTATGTCCGATTACTTTGTTAATAAATTTATAAAATCACAACTAATTATCGCACACGTTTCGAACTTCACACAATGAACTAGTCTGAACTGAACTAAATAATGTGGGTAGATTTGATTTTTAGAATTGAATGGATCTGTGTTAGGCCGAGTACTTTTCAATCCACCCTCGTAATAAACCTAAGTTTACCCAGTGCTTTTGGATAGTCTGAACATGGACCTAGAAAAAAGGGCGAACGTCGTCTCTTAAAACAATTACTGACGCATCCATAGTAAGTCAGTTCGGCTAATACAAACAAGCCGGCACACATGCACACCATAGTAAGTCTACCGCCCAGCATACGCTGAAATCCGCGCTCGCGTAGTTATTCACACATAGTTACGCAGCCGCCATTGCGGTGCGTCAATTGTTTCTTAGCGAGACTGTCCGCCCTTTTTCTAGATCCATGAGTCTGAATAATGATATATATAACTATAACTTCCGTTTAATTTGCCTAAAATGCTAGTTACAACTGCGGACGAGGTGACGCTTGGACCACCCCAAATTCGGACTCATTTATAATGTTCATAAACTATTCGTACTAGTACTTCTTCGGACCTTATACCGTACATATGATTGTGAGTTCAAGAATTCACCCTCAATAATAGCATCTATTTATTCATAATTATCATCATGAGTTATCAATATTCATATTCATAATATTTCAGTTGTACAAATTTTGAAGTTGTGAAGATTCGCAAATGTAATGAATTGTGGTCACGGCAGCCAGCATCAACTGAGATTTAGCCATCAACGCAGGACAGGATTACAGTGCCCAAGTGCATGCGTAAGCACATGTGCACTGTCTGACCCTTTCTCTCATGGTGCGATGGGATGGTAAATCGACACCACCGGAGAGAGATCAGGCGCAGCAGATAGTGGTGGTGGTGGTGGTGGTGGTGGTGGTGGTGGTGGTGGTGGCAGCGGCGACGGCGGCGGCGGTGGCGGTGGTGGTGATGCAGGCAGGTACCTTGTGCGCGTCGTGATGTGGCGGCGGCGGCAGCGGACGCGGCCGCCGCGACTCGCCGTCCGAGCTGCCGTCGCTCGACTCGCTCCCCGCTGTACACAAACATTTGTATATTCAATATATAAGTTAAGTTAAATACACGCGACGCGCGACTGAAAGCAGTTTGCAGCGTTTCCTAAATAAAAATGTGTGGTGGAACCATACACAGACAGACACTTCAAAATCACACACATCTTGAAATCAATATATTATACAATATAATAAATAACAAACAGTAAAAAAGCAAAATAATAAGTGCGCCTCCGGGTGTACCGACACTATGTTAGGACACAGACTATACGATCAAGTCGCTTGCTATATGAAATGGTAAGGCGTGTACGAACTATTTTTATTAAAATTTTGTTCGGAAACGTGTACATTTTATAATTGACGTTTAAGGCCGAATACGACGCGAATGACCTTGCTCGTTTCGCAGCTAACCACGCGCCGCCCGTACGCTTTGTTTATATAGACATGTATAATATAATCAAAGCCGTACGGGCTTTGATTATATTATTTTTGACTGAGCTAGCTCAGTATGCAGAGTAATGAACAACACAGAGAGCATTGCTTACTTCTTAAATAAATCTTTCTTATTTATAATATTAGTTCATATAGATTATAAATTCTGTACTTTATTCGTTATAAAATATTGTTCGAAAAGTTATTGAATTGATAAGGTTTTTTTTTTCTTAATTTGTTCATCGTACGTAAAGAACCTCATATAACTGAAAATGTTTGTTCTTGTGAGTCTTACAAGATGCCGTAATGCAAATTGCATAAATAATAAAGAAAAAAAAACTAAAAAGTCGGTGATTGTCCCATATTGGGGATAGGTACTGTGTATGTAAATTCTCACAAGACTACTCCGACTAGTCAATCACTTCACATCCGAAGTATTTCGGTTTTTCTTAATTATGTACTTACCCCATGCTTTCGGACAATACATTGACTACATTATTTGCGGTCTCTGTGCTTGCTACTCTGTACATTTTTTTCCGACTGGGTCTTGATATTTACATTTTTAGTGTTTCTCACTTGAAACTAGAAAAGTATAAATGATCAGTTTGGCTAATGTAAATGAGTAAAAATGCAACCTATTAGGCAGCCTCAAACAAAAAATTACCTTACAAAAATATAAGTATTAACCTCAAAATACAACAATCGAGCAGCGTTCATACAATAAACTCTCTTTGTTTTACCACTTAGGTAACATTTATTTCTTTTCCTACCCATATTTACATTTATAGTCACTTAAACGCGTATAAAACACTAAATTAACGATTTTCGCTACAGACACATCGACTGTTGTTATCTTACGTCACACGTCGAAGCGCCTGGTAATTTATTACTGCAAACTTTTATCTGGCAATATACGATATTATTATTAGGTGTTTTTAGTTAAAACGAATTATGTTAATAAATAATATTTTGTATCGAAAATAAAGACAACAGGCACCTTCGGAATCACAATACAAACATTTTTACGTAAAATAAATTTTCCTAAATTAAAATTCACAGAGTTTTGGAAGAACAATCATTTTTAAATATCATTTCTTAACATTTTTTTATTTGTTGGTATATTCATTTATTTTAAAATTTTAAAACTGCGGTCACCTTGTGAAGGAACCGAACAAACCTACAAAAAATGTTTTAACCCTTAGAATTACTTCAGGTCAAAGTTGTAGTGAAGATAAATACATTAAATTTCGCCAGTTCTCTAGGTATTCGGCCTTAAGCAACATGTTTAAGACCTACTCACAATAATCCAAGGACAAAACTGTAAGGCGTACATTACACGCTCATGCAGGCGTCAATCAATTCCATCAATCATGATTGATAAAAAAACGGGTGGTGACTAATAGGCGTACATTACGCGCTCATGCAGGCGTCAATCAATTCCATCAATCATGATTGATAAAAAAACGGGTGGTGACTAATAGGCGTACATTACGCGCTCATGCAGGCGTCAATCAATTCTATCAATAATGATTGATAAAAAAACGGGTGGTGACTAATAGGCGTACATTACGCGCTCATGCAAGCGTCAATCACTGCATTACACGGTAAGTTATTCGTTAATCACAACCGTGATTGTTGTAAAACTGACAGCCTGCATGAGTGTGTAATGTACGCCTATGTCCCAATGAAATTTGCCTAGAATATTCGAATATGCGTATATTTTACTGCTAATCCATGTACAAATTAAGGCTTTCACAGTCTTAAAAATTGTTAAATGGACTTTGTCGTAGTCATATTAAAAACGCTCTGTAAACTTAATTGTTACCTTTATCCTCTTGCGGTCGCGCCCGATATCCGGTTGGCAATTCTGGTGGACCCACAAACATACCCAGTTTTGGGACCCTCGGACTTTGTACTGCAACCAGGTTTCCTAACGACCTGTATGAATGGGTAATTATACATATAAATCATAGACAAACGAAAATTACAATATTAATTATTACGTTAATTATGAGACTCTCGATTAGAACTTTACGTGGTAGAACCATGCTGCAGCTATATTACTGGTATAGTTGTAGCACGAATGGGTCGGCTCGACCGGGGAAGGACCAGGCTTTCACAGATTACCAGCGTGAAATAGCAGCTTAATGCTGCTGTGTTTCGAATGGTGAGTGTAGAGAACCGGCGACCCGTCTTTACTGGAATCGAGGCATTCCATCTTAATCCTCAGGGGTGACAGCGCATCTGCATTTTAATTCTTAATTGGGGTTAAATGTAGATGTCTATGGCCCACAACATCCACTTACCATTAGGTAGACTGTGTGCTCGTTTAACACCCCTATTCTATAAAAAAAGTTGTTCCGTTTTTACCTTTAGAGGTAGGGAACCTTAACAAAATGAAAAACAGTGACGGCATACCGTTTCTTGTAGTGGCGGGGCGCGTGGTGCGCGTTGTGTCTGCGCCGCGCGTGCATCCGCGCCGCGCCACCCGACGCCTCGCTCGACCCGGAGCTGTCTGTTTCCGAGAACGCTGTGCCAACACGGTACAAATATTACAACGGAAACGTACTCAACGCCAACCATATTGGTTAGAGAACAGGAGGACGATCACTACGTACTAAAGCATAGCCCGCCTGTCCTTGAAATTTGTAGAATATATAGCGGCGCTGACGTCGGTGAGTAGTGACTGCGAAATTAGCTGTTTATGAGTACAAGTAGATGAAGTTAGTTAAATAATGTACAAATTTTCTCCGCGACATTGGTGAGAAAGTTTTAATGCTCCGTAATTTTGTAATTTTTGACAAAAAGAAACATTAAAAAATGGAGAAATATTTTATTGTGCGTGGATGTGCAAGTGGTTTAGCAGCTGATCGGAAAAATAGACAGAAAATGACTTTTATTGACCGAACTTAGCGATCTCAGCGCCTCACTTTTGGTATCCATGTTTCTGGGACAATATTTTCTACGGCGATCGTTCTCCTGTTCTCTAACTGTCATGACGCCAACGTTCGTGGCAAGCGCGGGCAAAAACGCACGAACAGCGTTGATAATATTGCCGTCTCGCTCTCGCTCCCAATAGATCGTAAGTTTTTCTATTTGTTTATTAGGGTACTGGCTACAAGGCTTTTAGTCAAAAAGAATACATCAAAAGTTATTATAAATTGGTAATAGGTAGTGGTAGTGGTAATTTTTTTTTATATAAATATGTTAACAAATTTCTTCACATAATGTGACGCACATAACGATATTTTTGGATTCGATTCGATAAGTTTGGCGGCAAATTAAACCAGCAGTCGATAATAATATCTTTATTTCTCAAGGCGTCCAAGCTGACTAAATAAGTTGGGGCTCACATCACCATTGTAGTACTTGTTTCATTGGTGTTACTATAGGCTCACATGCCTAACCATTTAATATTAAAATTCGTACTTCTTTTACGAATCAAAATCCATTTTAAATCATTATTTACGATAATGCAAGAAGCGTCATCATGACACACCAAATTTCTATCGATAAAAGTAATTAAAAATTTCCGATAATTGTATTTTAAATATTAAATGGACTCATACCAATGTAATGATGATGATGATACCAAGGTCATATGGCAATTTATTTTTTCAAGGCTTCAGCGACCACATTATGCGTGTACTATAAACGTGTCACAACCCGCACGTGACTATAACCGCGACCGCCATGAACATTGACTTTACTTTATAATGCAAAAAATATAAACATGTCGTACTGACGTGTCAAATAGCGATTAACTTACATGGCTGATGCAAAGGAGTTTTTTCGTGTCTTCGATGTCTTCTCAGTCTCGTCATCGATGGTGCTTCCATATACTCATTAGTCTCTTTGATCTGAAAAAAAAAACCAATCCGATATAGTAATTAAATTTCTTTTACCTACCTCACACCGTACAGCTATTACTATGACTTTTGCTTGCTTTTTGAGCGCAGGAAAATTTTGCAAAGTTCGTTTGTACAGAAGTATTCTTAGTTCAAAATACCGTTGAATAATTCTAACCCATGTTGTACTCGCGCCAGTCATTATCACTGATCACATCACTGATTATCACTGAATAGAAAAGGAACCAACCGGTCAGCGGAATTGATTCACCTCATATTCTGCACTCGAAGGTCAGCGCTTATAATTCTTACCGCCTACCATACCTTAATAAGGGATCGAACTAATTTTTGATAAACATGCGACGGTGATGGTTTCAATGTCCATTATATTTAGATACTTTAAATACATGAAACATTTTAATACAAAGGTTTTAAAAATTATTATACATAAATACTCACGCCTGTCACCCAGAGGGGTAGGCAGAGACTACAGACTTCCATTTGGCACGATCCTGACACACCTCTCTCGCCTCCTTCGCTCTATATACCTAAGCATACATGTTCGTCGGTTAAGGGTACTCCTAATTTGGCCTATTTTCAATAAATCGCCAATTTGATCGATAAATTTTCGCCTAGGACGTCCCTTTCCGACTCTGCCATTCACTTCTGCAACATAAATTTTCTTTATCACTCTTTCCTCATTCATTCTTTCCATATGACCAAACCACCGAAGCATTCCTTTCTTAATCCTGGTCACAACATCATCTTGCAAACCACACTCTTCTCTTAGCACACAATTTCTCACCCTGTCATTCAGATTCAGCCCTAACATACTCCTTAACGACCGCATTTCTACTGCGTTCATTCTACTCTCGTGCTTCTTCTGCCACACCCAACTTTCACTACCATACGTTAAAGTAGGTTTTTTGTATTGCCATACGTGCCTTTTTCGACACATTTTGACTGACATTTACTCTATTTCCTGCATTCACTCGTCGTTCTATATCCTTATCACATCTCCCACCCCTGCTAAATACGCAACCCAAATATACATCTCATCTACTTGCTCGATCAACTCCCCTTCTATTCTTATTTCACATATCGTTTTAAATTTATATATCGTTTTTAAAAATTATATTAATACAAAGGTAAATATTTAACGAGAAGTGGTCTTCTAGGTAGGCACACATATCTGCGTGTAACGCACGTTTAAACTAACTTTGAACACAAACATGCAACAGTCTGGTTTCATAAAATAATTTTTACATAATAGCTTTTGAGTCATTGCTAAGACATAGTTAGAAAAATTAGTCCCTCGTCTTCAGAAGCTACAATAAATTATTTGATTCTTTGTTTTGAAGATGTATATTTCCTTTTGTTTAAAATAAAGAGTGCTACGGGTTGGATTTGATGTATCGGCAGTGACATCTGCCTGCAACTATACTAACTTCAAAACACAGACATGCAACTTCGAATTTTTTAAATGAGTATTAGAATTAGACTTTGGTTAGTCAACAGTGGTACATTATGCGACACTACAAACACAAACAAGCAACCGTCGTTTCTAAAGCGAAAGCATTAGTCGGTTTCTAGGCGTCGACAGTAGCGTTGCCAGATTAGTGTTCAACCAATGCGCAATTTTTGGCACTGAAGTGAAAAGTGAGTTTTTGTTATGAACGGGACACAATTTTTTACATTAATAGGACTTTATCAAGTTATTTTTCATGTGTCAGCGTTGATACCAACTACGTGTCCAGTTCAGGCTCGAAGCTGACAAACAAACTTAACCCCTCAACCCCCAAGCGGTCGCATGCGACCGCGGCCATATTCCGTCAAATCCCTTGCGGTCTCTAGGGTCTAGTAATAAAAAACTGTTATCTTATGAATATTTATTTATCTACGTTTATTTCGTACGCTATTTTCGCGTGAATGTTATTGTGTTGATTTTAGGATTTTTCCAATGTTTTAGTATAGTGTTTTATTACAAAATTATAATGATAGTTTTGTGTGAATATAATGTATATATTTACGCTGCCGGAATTCGCTTATTATATTTTCTTTTTGTTATCAAAATACAATAAAATCTTTCTGTAATGATAACCTGAGTAATACCTTTTGTTTAGACCACAAGATAGAGAATTTTGTATAGATTGTATAATGCTAAACTTCTTCATAGAAAAGTCGTCTCTAAATATAAGTTTTAATGGATTTAAGTGCTGTGGGTGGATGCGGTCGCTAGCGAGCGCTCGGGATTTGCCGGGCGCATGCGACTGCACGGGATTTTTAAGGGGCTTGAGGGGTTAATATAATAGTGGTGAATACAAACTTTTTTTATTCTACACAAGACGTGCAAAAGTAAACGTTAATAAGTTTACTTTAGAACTGTTTCTACCAATTCGCGTTATGGTTGCGCGTTACGTTACAGACATGCATCTGCAAACTTTAGTATATCAATGTAACAGCATGTGTCGCTGCACGTGCAAAACAACTGTAAACATAAAGATGCAGCAAAATTGAACTCTAATGCGCAGGCGTTGGAGTCGCATTGCGTGTGTCGGCGTTGGTACCTGCGCGTACTGCGCGTCGAGTTCAGTCTCGGAGCTGACACCGGAGGGGTGGTGATGGTGCGCGGCAGCTGTGCTTGCGTGCGTCCAGCCCGAGCGACCACACTGCGGGTTAGTGCCGTTACCATGTTACACGACCATCCGGCTCAGAAGACCAATTGCTCTACCGATGATATAATACCAAGCAACTTCGACGATAGATAAGAAATCCTCAGTATCATAATATAGCATCATATATAATATTCGTACCATAAATGTGTACTCATTAAAACACAACCATGTTCGCTTCTTACACGCACAGGTTTTTTCTAATTAAAAATTTATACAGAATTTTATAATTTTTTGTTGTTTGTACAAATCCATCTTCGCATTACATCAAAAACTGATTTTTACAAAGTAGGTAAAAGTAACGATGTTGCACAGTATTATTTCACTTACCCAGGGTTAAAACATAACGGCTCATATAATTAGTACAATGATTATTCTCGTTAAATACATGGACCGGCTAATGACTGATAGTTATTTACACAGTGATCCTGATTTTAAATAATGTTTTAACATGATTGAGGAAATATGGACAATGTTCAAATTTTATATGAAGTTAACAAAACTGTCGTATAATTATTAACTAGTATCATGTGTTCAATGTATAAAGTTAAAAAATTAAAATGGAACCTTTAATTAGCCTTACTATTAATTGTTAATTATTTTTTTATCCCAAGTTACGTTATTGGTTTTCTTAATAAATTAAATTAAATTAACATAAAAAGTAATACACTCTACATTTTGTCAAATAACAGAATATTCGGGCGCACCTGCTATTCTTCAATCATGTCTAAAGATAATGATTATCAATCACAGGTAATCCCAACAAAGACCCATTAAATGTTATTTGTAGTAGGCAATATTATAGAATACTATAATACACAATAGAATGGCTGTCAACCTTATTTTGTACGAGAGTCGGCGTCGCTGGGAGCACACATATAAGCAATTACGTCGTATTATCACTACTACAAACCCGATTCGCTGTGTTGGCGGACTGAGTAAATTTAAACATCCCAACAAAGCAACCCATTAAATGTTATTTGTAGTAGGTAATATCATAGAATACTATAATACACAATAAAATGGCTGTCAACCTTATTTTGTACGAGGGTCGGCGTCGCCGGGAGTATACATATAAGCAATTACGTCGTATTATCACTATTACAAACCCGATTCGCTATGTTGGCGGACTGAGTAAATTTAAACATTTTAGACTTTTGATTAATGTTCAAGATCATCATTAAAAAAATCGTTTAAATTTTAATACATATTTATTTGTAAATAGTGTGCAATTTGGCATTTTCTAAATAATTTGCATGGGAAATTTGGAAACGATTGTAAACACATCTCGTGTTGACAGTTATACGTGTGAATTGACATATTAGTGACATTTCAGTGGCTACACGGGCTCCGCCCACTCCCCCGTTCTATTATATAAATATTATAGTATTATATGGGCAATATTATATGACATACCTTTCTTTCTCTCGAGTGCGGTGGCCCAATTGTAATATGCTGTAGTGCGTCGCTGACCATTGTATAATTGTTCATGTCTAACTTGCCTGGTTGCTGTAGGTTTAATTAAAAATATTATAAGACAAAGATTATTTACAAACATCAAAACAAATTTGCAATCAGTTTGAAAAATCGAAATATTTTTGTTACGGTAGATTGTATTAAAATTACTTCTTCTTTTTAGATTTTTTACTTAAAATATAGAATATACTGTTTTAATACCGATTATAATGGGGACCCTATAATTAATATAATTAAAACTAAACCCAAGCATACCACTGCAAGACTTCAAAACACAGTTAGTTCATTCTGCGTAGATCGGGCCAAAGACAATAATTAAAAAGCTTAATGTACTCCGGGTAAACTTTGACATCGGGACGTTAGTCACCTCAGTCCCCCGTGACCATGGGTGCTAGAAAGCACCCGAAACGTCGGGCATTAAAAATAACATAAATCAACGCGATAAAATTCGTAAAAGTAGTTTTAATCAATATTAAACAATAAAACAAATTCAAATGTTTTTCCATATAAAAAGAAATTCAATACAAGCTTACGCTCATTTATAAATCTGACTTACTCAATTTTAACAATTATTCGTCTTTGAACTATTTCAGGCAATAGAATGTAAAATTTATTGCAGTAACTCATATTCGTCTTGGAACTATTTCAGGCAACGGAATGTAAGATTTATTCCGTCAACCCATATTCGTCTTTGAACTATTTCAGGCAATAGAATGTAAGAATTATTGCAGTAACTCATATACGTCTTGGAACTATTTCAGGCAACGGAATGTAAGATTTATTCCGTCAACTCATATTCGTCTTTGAATGTAGGATTTATTGTGGTAACCCATATTTATCTTGGAACTATTATATTATAGTCTGAAAAAGTTATTTATTCTCAGTAACTACTCGGGATTAAGGTGACACCGTGAAAAAATGCACCTCCTTTCATCGAATAGTATAGGACTATGACACCACTAACGAAAGTGGGATTTTGATATAGGTAAATTCATGTCTTTATTTTGAATTTGATTGCTCAAAAACACGATTTTATAGTTTTGACTCGATCATAATTATTTGCGAAAACACCTCTAAAAATCACTATAGTTGAAATTTCAACGAAATTATTTGATCTATATGCTTGGGAATCACTCAAATATATTCATAACATCAATATTCATAATTTACTTGCTCATTATTTTGATAACTTAAATCAATAATTTTTTTAAAAAATATTTTAAGATTCTGACAATTTCTAAGCGCTTTTAATCGTCGCGAGCGCTACGCTATTTTAGACCTTATGAGGGCGTTTCTTTAAGTCTTTATAGAAATTATGTATTCACTCGGATCAGTACGGCGATAGCGTTTTCGATGTGTCGTCTTAACAAAACATAAAGGCTGTACCATATCTAATGTGCTAGTACTAAATTACGATGACGTGAGTTTTCTCATACTTAGAGACAAAAGCAAGGACATTCAAAGATTATGAAACACTGTGGTTAAGTTAACTTTAATGTCATTTATTCTGCATCTATCATAATATGAGCCTAATTGTCAAAAGGAGTAAGCCCACCATTTATATTCAGGAATTATTATGAAGTTATAATATATTTATTTAATATATGTATAAAAGCCACAAAATAGTTTAAAAATAATGACGTCATAAGGGGCGACAGAGAGAAATGGGACAGGAGATAGCCGCAGGCTGCAGGCTGCAGCATTTTACTGAAAGCTCAAAATAGTAAAAAAATAAGGTCGCCAACCCACCTTGCAAGCGTGGCCACTTTTCAAATATTTACCAGAAAGGGCAATTATTCTTTCATGGGACAATATATACGATTTTGCAATCCTAGAAAATACAAAGGATCTATCTATCAATAAGTTTACAATTATTATGAAGCAAAAACTGTTTAATAAGAGTTATAATGCTGCTGCTATTTATGAGTACATTATTGATAATGACCCTGACTTTTGACAGGCCGCAATGAGAAATGAAAAAAAAATTAAAAGGTGACCTTGAGCGAGAGCGTCTGCGAGTGGCGCGTGCGCTGAGGCGGCGGCTGCGGGCGCGAGCGGCCCGTCGTGAAGGCGCGCTGCCCGTAGCCCGCCGGCTGCCACGCGCCGCCGCCGTCTGTACCGCACGCTTCAACTTAATCATACGCTATTTGCATTTGGCACTTCACTCAATGAGGACATCCACGACTTTTTACTACCAAGGCCACCACTTGAGAATGAGGTGAAATATTTGACAGATTACAGGCAGGGAAGTCAATAGGAAACTATAAGGGTTAATGTTTCTTTTTATAATATTTAGTTATATAATTTTAGTTTGAGTTATATTTTATATTAACTGCGTATATTCCTAAAAATAGAAAATAAAAGAGTTAAAAATGTGACTAATTAAATGGAGAAACCAGAGGCATTGTTTTGTGTATTTATATAATACTCTAAAAACCGATAAACTTTTATTTAAAACGCAACTTTTCAGTTATAATTGTGTAACAAAAAACTTCACCTCAGTTTCAACTAGTGACATATTTTTAAATGGAAGATTTAGCCCTCATTGAAATACTTTTTTTAGAAAAAACATTTTTATGAAAATTATATGAGGACACAGTGTAATGATTTCATGATTTATTTTTAATAACAATAACTATATTAAAAGAATAAAAAAAGCAAATTAACCATAGTATACATATGTTTATAAATACTAGTGGTGGAAATTCGATAGTAATTTATTAATTCTCAGGTTTGTATATTTAGCAAGGTGTATTTCAATTTCAACTGAACATTAATACATAAAACAAAGAAATCTAATATACAAAATAAACAATAAACTTATTCAATCAATATGCTAATCAAGAGACTATTTGACAAATAACATTTAAAATTACCTAAAATTCACAATTTATTCAGTCAATCTGTCAGTAATTATTTGTTAGCAATATATAAAAACTCCTTAACGACAATCTCAACTCTGTGCGACTGTTTGACCACAGACTATTAATGAACAGAACATTATGTGTTTGACTTAGACTGCATATTGTGTAGTGCTATAAGTGTATAGTGCTTATACTTACTTTGAGATATTGGCAGTATTATCTTCAACAAACAAAATAATTTATCCAAACAACAATACATTGGCTGTGTGGGCATAAACAATGTATGTTTTATTTTATTATATTTGAGGTATTTGTAGCACATTAAATATAAAAGCTTATACAGAGGAGTGCAGAAACTCCTCTATATAATCTTCAACTATGCCAAATCTCACACTATTCTTCAATCACCTTCGATTTGCCGACGATATAGTTCGTATGGCAGAATCGCTGGAGGACCTTAGCACTATGCTCAATGACCTCAATAGTGTCTCCCAACGGATAGATATTAAGATGAACATGGACAAAACAAAGATCATGTTTAATGTCCATGTCACACATATGCCGGTAGTTGTTGGGAGCACTATGCTCGAAGTTGTTGACGAGTACGTTTACCTGGGACAAATAGTCCGACTAGGTAAGTCCAACTTCGGCCGAGAGGTCAATCAACGGATTCAACTCGGCTGGGCAGCGTTCTGGAAATTACGACACATCTTCTCGTCAGATATACCTCAATCTCTGAAAACTAAAGTGTACAACCAGTGCGTGTTACAAGTGATGACTTACGGATCTGAGACGCGGTCCTTCACTGCTGGCCGTATGAGGACGCTCAAGGTCGCTCAGCGAGCTATGGAGAGGGCTATGCTCGGAGTTTCTCCGCGTTATAGACTCAGAAATGAGGATATCCGCAGTAAAACCAGAGTGACCGATATAGCCCAACGGATTAGTAAGCTGAAGTGGCAATGGGCCGGCCATATAGCTCGAAGAACCGATAACCGATGGAGAAGAAAGGTTCTCGAGTGGCAGCCTCGTACCGGTAGGCGTAGTGTAGGGCGACCCCCCACTAGATGGAGTGACGACCTGGTAAGACATGCAGGAAGTCGATGGATGCAGGTGGCTCAGGACCGTGCTTTGTGGCATTACTTGGGGGAGGCCTACGTTCAGCAGTGGACTTGTGAAGGGCTGTAATGATGATGATGATGAATTCCCCTATTCAAAATATAAGTTTATTCCGAGATATTTATGTTTTATATTAATATAACACCTTTTACCTCTATAAAGCATTCCTTAAGATTGGTAAAATTATTGTAACGAAAAATAAAATAATACTTATTTTAATTTACTATGGCACAAATTATTGCAATTGTGTGATTACAAAAATGAATTAATAATAAGGTTGTCTAAAAATTAAATATATCAAATATTTTATAGCAGCTTGTGCAATGCAATACAAATAGATGCATATTTTTTTAAATTGATTGTGATATACACTACTACTGAATTCCAAAATACAAAATACTATAAACACAAATTCTCTCTATATGTAAAAAAATAAACAAATAATAAGATTTCTATACTACTCCATTCATGCAAAAGAAATTAAATCAAAAACATTCCTTGTAATTAATAAAAACTTCTTGTATTGGACAAGACAAATCTATCTACACACAAAACTGAACCTGCCCACTAATGTAATAAGGTCTATACTCGCTTGTTGTGCAATCACCTGACTCGTGCGTGCTCAGCGAATCCTCGGAACAGTTGAGATCAGCTGCATTTCAAGGTTTAATTAAATTTCGAATTCCATATAAGGTAAACTATACAGAACTGAAATAATGTTTCAATTAATTTTGGGAATACAAATGACATGGCTATATATACCCCCAGTTAACCAGTCTCTCCGTTGAGCGTTCTTACAGGCCCATCTAAATAAATATCAACTAAACATTGACGAACTGAGTCGCTTCAGAAATAGCGGCAGAAATAGTGTGTCTTATATTATACGAAGACTCGAGATGTGTGCAGCCATCGGAACTATGATTAATTTAAGAAACTCAGTTGCCAGTTATTGGGTCTGTATCCCACTTCTTAACATAACAACGTGACCGCCTTTAACGCCAATATTTTTAAGATGGAGGACAAGTCCATCACGCTGGCTCCAGTGCATAATTGTTTTTTATTTTCAGAAATTCTTTTGTAAATTCACCGCTATGAATGAGAGCAATCAATTACGTGTATCTCACGACGTAACTTTGACATTCATTCTACCTGAACCCCTAAAACCTTAAAACACTTAACTGCTGAACTGACTTTACAAGTACTTCTTATGTAACATTTTTAAACTATGAACATAATGTTTGCTAAGATGACACAACTATCCTCTAATAATAATAAGAAAATCGTGAATTAAAATTATTAAAAATAATATGAGAGTATAAAAAATCGTAAATGATGATGTCCCTTGAATTCCGTTAAAACAACATTAGACCTTTGAGAGAAACTCCTTATAAAATTTGATTTTTAGTGTAGTAATTGCATACTATTTAAATCCTTTGGTTACTATTATTCCCTTAATTTAATAATGTATTTCAAAACGCTTTAGATACACCATAACCGTTATTGATACAAAATAATTTTTTTCATTTAATTACAGACCAAAATGCACAAGACTTACGTGAGAGATCCGCGTGCATTCTGTGATCGGGCGGAGCAGGTTCAGGTGGAGTGCTGGGCGGCGGGTAAACGCTGAAACCTGCAACAAAAATCATACTAATGATATAGAAGACTCACGCAAACAATAAACAAAATAGGTAAACATGTTACTCTCTCTACGTAGCTTATATTGTGGTGTGTGCAGTGTGTACAATAATGTTTGAGTAATTTCTTTAAGGAGAATATTAGAAATGACATTTAAAAATCATTACCCTTAAGGAATCCCCTATTCTTGGAATTGTTCAATGTGTCACTGTACTCGGAGTCAATGTCAGCCCGCGAGTCTGGACCGATGAGAAGATCGAGCGAGTTCGTAAGCTTGTGTTCCATCCTGAACAAAGTGTAATAATAAATTTATAATAGTGAAGTCAATTTTATTAATAACGTTAGGCAAAAAAAAATTATTTCTGAGGGTGTGATATAAGAGTGCACTGGTCACCGAAGGTTAGCAGCCAATTTGATATAAACATGCAATGCAAAATTCATCTTCGAAAGAATTAAAACTTAAGTTTGAGATATATTGCAGTGCACACATTTCTGAGTACTAAGTGAGAATGCCGTGTTAGTAATTTTTTAGGGTTTCAGTTAATCGACAAAAATTGTGATAAACTTTGTTAAAGATATCCCACCTATTCGTTCCCTAAAATCACTGAATAGTTTTAAAAACAAACTAAAGTTCTATTACTTAGTACAAGTTCAAAATACGTAATACAATTATGTTTAGAACACAAAATAGTAATAACATTTATATTGTTTTACACCATGTTCAAATATTATTGATTATTGTTTATTTCTGTTACATATTTGATGAATGATCATTTATTATTTATTTATTTTTAATCTTACTTTTTCCTAAAAAAATCTAGGTCTCGTAACATGGCGTGTCCCTTTGAGTACAGAATATAAATTAAATATGTACTAAAATCATAAATTTTATTGCTACTTTGCTTTGTCTTCCCCATAGAGCCAGATATTTTATGTGTAAGTATAGGTATAGTGTATGTACTACACACCATTTATATTGATATTTATACAGTATGTCCGTGTTAACTGTGTTCGGTAGCATTACTCTTTAACCCACTACCTAATTACTATTAGTCTATAAGTTGTAGTTACGCGTAATTCAAGGTTCACACACCGACTCGTCAGTGAAGTCACAAGGTTGCAACTGAAAACCAGCAGCAGCATTATGCTGATTTGGAGACCTATTTGATGTCACATTTTATCTTTAAATTCTTTTTTTAATTTTTTTATTTAATTTTTTTGTTTCATTATTAATTAACATCATGCATGTTCTGCTTATTAAATAATTTTTAATGCGTAAGCAGTCTTACACCTGCGCATGCATATTCTTTGCCCCTTGTAATTTATATTTAAATTTCTTAAATTGTGTGTAAAGTGTGATTGTTTACGCTCGATTGTAGTTACAAATTGCAGGGCTCGCGTCTCGAGCGGGAAACTGGTTTGACGGCGGGGTCGGGGTAAATGATTTGTGCGGCCGGCTGCCGCACCTACGGGTCTCGAGCTATCTTGGTGAGCGAGCCGTGTCGAGCAGAGGTCGCGAGTTTTTGATAACGATTACGGCTTCGAATACGGAGGCCTCCACGGTGTTGTATTTTGTCGTTAATATACGTGACAACGAGGCTTATTTCTTGATTTTATTCGCGAGACACCCGGGTCGATTTTACGTCGCGAGCCTCTTACAGTGTTATCTTAATTTGTTTCCGTGATAACGAGGCCTGAATCATATAATTGTTATTGTAACTGTTTTAAGTATTGTTTGTGACGGGAATACGGTTGCGCGCGGCAGGTGTTTTGACTTGAAGGTATAAAGCTTGTGTTAATTGTGCCCGCCATTTCAATTTACTATTGAATATTTCGGTATAGTCTAGACCGACTCGAATTTAGTTGTCTGTTTTGAACGTGTTACGTGACAAGAGGCCTAATTTGAATTTGAAGTTAATTAAATGTACAATAAAGTGATAAACTAATATAGTGAAAATAGAAGCAGACGTTTTCAATTGGTGAACGCCCCCCTGGGCTGATCCCACATTTGGAGAGAGGCAGCGCCTTGCGATCTGCAGTCCAAGATCAGCGGGGCTGTCAGGTTACATATAGTACACATTACTGCACACTACTCACATGCACCTCACTTATCACCTGACAGGTACCCTGTTGTCAACCCTACCTCCACCAATCGGTAAGTGTTGCTTGCTTCTTTGTTAGCCGTTATAATTTAATTATCCATAGGTCGTTGAACCCTCCCCTTTGTTACTCGTCTAGTTGGACTACGAATGGGCCCTAGTTCAATAGTCTTTTGTCAGGGCCGTAACAGTGATTATCAAATAAATGGTTCTTTCTTTCTTTCTTTCAACACATACTATGACAGTTGCACCAACTATCTGTTTTGAGTCTGTTGTGAGTATATACCGTGTGAAAGTATCAGTGTGTGACTTGCAGCAGCTTCTTGTAATTGAAAAAATATGTGAGGTATGTGAATTGTAGCAATTACTATTGAAAATGTTGCAGTTTATAAGTCGCAGTAATTAGTGGTTGTGTGTTGTGTATATATATTCCTCGACCGATTCCGGCCACGGCGACCTCTTCAATTCCGATCCTGTCGTTGGTGTGCTCGTGCATGGCTAGTGTAGCCGATTTTATTTACAAACGTTCGCGCGCAATGCGGGCAGGTGAGCACACCATTACAGAAATTACAGTTAATCGATTTGATGATGAGTTGTGTACAAGTGCGTTGTACAAGTGTACATGATCACGTTTTTTTAAGGGTGACAAACTAACACACAGTCCACCTAATGATAAGCGGATGTTGTGGCCCATTTACACTACATTTGTCCTCAATTAAGCTCAAAATGCAGATGCGTTGTTACCCCTGAGGACTAAGATGGAAGCCTCGTTTCCAGTAAAAGGTTTCCAGTTCTCTACATTCATTATACGAAACACAGCAGTATTAAACTACTCTTATACGTATTCTTTCCAAGCGTGGCCCTATCCCGGTCGGACCGACCCTTTCGTGCTACCAATGTCAATGGGTCGGTTGCAGCACGGCTCTAACATTTGTAAAATGTAGTAATGAAGTGCCTTTACCTGTGGTTGTGAGTGTGCAGTATATAAGTGAGCTGCACTAACTTTTGGTCGCGAGTACGCGGAGTATAAGTGAGTTGCAGCAGCTTGTGGTCTCAAGTGTACAGTATGTAAGGGAGATGCACCAACGTGTGGTAGCGAGTGGGCAGTGTATAAGTTGCGGGTGTATGGTTGCGAGTGTGCAGTATGTAGGTGTGAGGTGAGGTGCACCAACTTGTGGTCGAGGTGGTAGGAGTGGTTGCGCGGCGGCGGCGCGGGGCGCGCGGCGGCCACGTCGGGCAGGTTGTGCGGCTGCTCCATGCGGAACGCGCGCTCGATCTCGCCCTTGCGCTCCCACACCTCCTTGAAGAACGGCGTGTAGAACGCCGCTGGGGATAAGGGGATACAAAAACAATTTTAAAAAAAATGCCCATGTATACAACAGGGACAACTTCCGAACACAGTCAGTAGCTATCAACTATGTCAGGAATGTTTTAGTAACATAAGTGTCCGATGCACACTTATGCAATAAGACAGTAGCAGAATTGATTGCGGTGTTAAAACACAGGGACAGACATACTTATCTTTTATTTGAAATCACAGTCTGATGCAATATATGGACAAAACCAACAATTTATGATTTTCGGATTGGTTTTATTATATTAGAACAAGAGATAAAAAAATCATAATAAATTAAGACTTTAAACCAACCATTCTCTTGACATCGCGTCGATTGTCACAACATTTATGGAACAAATCGGTGACGACTTTTTATGCTCCTATACGTAGCATTTAAAAAATGCTTTGTTTCAAGTATAAAACCAAGGTTGCTAGCGTACTATCAAATTTAAAGCGTAGAAATAAAAACCTCTTGCATATTGCATTTTTGCTACCTCGGCTTATTCTTTATTTTTATTCATTTAAACTTTATTTTTAAAACAAATATTCAGAGTATGACAGTATAAGAGTTGCAAGGTATAACATTTCAGAGTATACACTACTACTACAAATATATAAGTAATATTTTATAAGAGACAAACGAGTTTAGACGTCACCTATTTTTTTAGAGAAGATGACGTAAACCGGTATACAGTTCATTTGACGGAAAAACCGCCAGTGTTGTGAACCACTTAAAAGCAAAAAGTTACTTACATTTACTCTCCGCACTTGATGTGTACGTAGTGAAATGGGCACCCAGCCTATCTGCAGTCGCGTTGCCTTCTGTGATGAGCACGTGCCCGAGGTCGGTGCCGAAGAACGCATTAGCGGCAGACCCACCGCCGTCAGTTACAGCCACCATTTGTATCGGCAGGTTGGGGATGTTCATTGAGAACGCGCTGAAATATATGAACATTAAATCACTATTGGACTTGGACTTGGACTATTGGAACTCTGCCTGCAACAGGAAGCACGGGCAACTAACTTTGTCAATGCTTTTTGTTGCTGCCGGTCCCAAGCCCGGAAAAGAGGAGGGAACGGTTCCGCCGGAGAGAGTGGGTGTATCCGGTGGACTAACACACCCACCTGCGCTAGGACCTGCGCAGTTGAGCGCCGTATGCGGGGATGAAGGAGTCCTGGAGGGTTGAGCCGATCGTCACTGGGATATATAGTGTCGAGAGGCAACACGCCCTCTTTGGTCCGGATTTCAAGCTAAACGGTGGCCTTATCTGCTAGCCACAGATAAGGAAATGGCCAAGCGTCCCGTCAGAGGGTCGCAGGCGAGGGATGTGGGGGCTGCCTAGTCTCCCTGAAAAGGGCTAGGTGGTGGTAAAGGCCATGCTGACGAGGCAAGTGAAAGTCAACTCGGGCAGTGGGGATGGGCCTTTTCAGCCCTATCTGCCAGCTGGATCGAGCTCCCGATGTCGCGCTGTGAGCCAACTCTGCGTCCCTATATTCCCCCGGTAATTCCTAACGCCTGAAATTCTTTTAATAAAGTAGGACGTTTCCAAAGGTGCGGGCTCCATGGAGGGTGGGAAGCCGGGGGGACGAATTAGTACACATATCAAAAACTATGGACAACGCAAGGCCCATTAGTAGAGAGGGAGAAGTGTCAGAGGTGTTTACCTTAGACACTGATAAACCAGAAGGAACCGCCGTTAAACCGGCCGTTACACTGACTGTACCACCCAGCGTAGGTGGCCCCACCAAGGGGGCAATTTCCGCGCTGGATGTCTCTAAATCCAGTTCCAAATCCAAGGAGCTGGGAGAGAAAAATGAGCAAGGGGCCGCGAGTAGCAAAACTCCTGCGGAGCCCCAAAGGACCAAAGACCTTTCCTCCGCTGCCTGGCAAAGTGGTGAGCCGTAAGGGGAAGCGCAAGGCATCCAAAATAGTGACTTGCCAATCCGACGCACCATCAGGTGGGTCTATCCCAGCAGGCAGTAGCGCAAAGGTCAAAAATAAGAATAAGAAGCAACGAGAAGAAGGCCGCAGAGAAAGAGCCACGCTCGCTGCTTCCAAGAGCAAGACTCAGGGAGCTGGGCAAGCTACTGCTACTGCGGTGCTTGGGGCTGGAACCAGTACTCGTGCTGAAACTGGGAAGGATGAAAATCCAGCCCGAGCAGTAGGCACGGCCTCCGGAACCAGCTCTAAGAAATCAGGAGCCAGAGAGCAGCCAAGCGTCCTGGAAAGAAGGAAAGAGCAGCCAAAAGATTGCTGGAGGAGTCCACCTCGCCGAAAAGAGAGAGCACAAAAAAGTGCGACTTGAACAGCAAACAAAAGCTGCAAGAACAAGCTACGCTTCTGCTGCTAAAGCAGATTTGGGTGTAGCCTTAACGTGTTCAGGTCACATAACAAAGGAGGTAGCTGATGATATCCTCGTGGCCATACAGAGGAAGATGATCGAGGCCTGGAGTAACCAGGACCCTGATGCGTCGGGCCCGGTTTTTAGAGGCAAACCCGTTTACACGGAGGGTGTCCTAAAGCTGTGGTACGATGACCAGAAGGCTCTGGACTGGTTGAAGGGGAATATTAATACCCTCGACCTCAAATCCAACACCTCGCTGACTATTAAGAAACAGTCAGAGATACCACAAAGAATCAAATGTGGTATCCTTATCCCTGATGCCCAAGGTGCCTGGAAGGACTCACGTGACATTGGTCATATGCTTGCGTACCAGAACCGCTGGGTAAACATCAAGGACTGGCTACTACTCAAAGCGGACAAACAGACGGACGGGTGGTTCCTCGTTGTTTCGGAGCCGGAGGATCATATCCCGACCCCGATGAAAGCCGGGCGCCGTCTCGTATGTGTATGTGGGAGCGGTATACGTTAAATTCCAGGGTCGTGGAGGAAAATTCGTTGATTCCCCACCTAGCAAAGAGGCAGAAAAGAACCCGGAAGTCATGGATACCGTGGCCATGGTTGCCGGTATATCGAAATTACTGGATTTCAAGTCCAGTGAAAAAACTGCCTGCACAACCGAGCCGAAACCCCCAGTGGAAACTGAGCTCAGCGGCAGCTCACTGAGCGACGAAGAGGACTGCATTTTGCCGTCCAATTCCGACTCGGTGGCTGACGATGAGACCCGAGATCTGCTGGCAGGCTTATTTTTAGGCGGGGACGGGGATGACGCGATCGATGATGGCGTGCCCTTCGTCCAAAACTAGCCTAGTGCAGGCCAACCTCCACCACAGTGAGACAGCTCGTCAATTACTCAAGTGGTTGGAGGCACAAAGGACGGCCATAGCCCTAATCCAAGAGCCATGGATTGGGGCCGGTAAAATTAAAGGCCTAAACAACCTAAGAGGTAAGTTATTCTACAACTCTGAGCACGACAAGCCTAGAGCGTGTATTTATACTACTAAAGATATCTGTGCAAAACCACTAACAGATTTCTGTTCCAGAGACATGTATGCCGTAGCATTATAAAACACACAGGAGGAAAGGTTAGTCGTCGCCTCGGTCTACATGCCTGAGGAAGACATCCCTCCCCCCTCACGACCTCGTCAGGCTGGTGAATTTCTGTGAGAGGGCCGGACTAGAGGTTGTGATCGGGACGGACTCCAACGCGCATCATCCCCTTTGGGGAATGGAAAAACCTTAATGAACGAGGTAAGGTTTTAGTAGAATATTTATTTAGCACTAACCTAACCATATTAAACACTGGTTCTGAACCAACCTTCATAAATAAACGCTGTCGCACAATAATCGACCTCACACTTGCAACAGAAGGAGCAGCTAAGCTAATAACGGGATGGCATGTGTCGAAAGAGGCCTCATCCTCAGACCACAGATGGATCTGCTGCGTACTACAGGTCGATATCCCCGCTATACCACCATGGAGAAATCCCCGCAAGACGGATAAAACAAAATACCTCAATAGGCTGACGTCTTCGCTCGCGGGTGTTGGGGTAACTAATACCATAGCAGATCAATCGCTCCTAGAAGAACAGGTAGCAGCTGTCACTAAAGCCATGATCGATAGCTACCATGAATCATGTCCAGTAATCACTCCACCAAAACATGCTGAGCAAAAGCAACAGTGGTGAGGTAAATAACTAGACAGGAAACGCAAAAAGGTAAGAAAAGCCCTAAATAGGGCAATGAATACCTCAAAGGATGGAGACTGGCTTCTATATAAGAAAGCTAAGTCTGAATACAAAAAATGTATCAGGTATCGACGCTCAATAGGGTGGCGCAAATTCTGTGGTAGCATAGAAACCTGTGAACAAGCAAATCAAATAAGGAAAATCCTAGCTAAACAGAACACGCCGGGATCTATCTCTTTAAAGAAACCCGACGGAAGCTACTCAACATCGCCGGATGAAACCCAACGCATCCTAATTGATACTCACTTCCCAGGTTACTGTGTAGTTGAAAGGGTGAACCGGCATGAAGATGCACTGACACCAACAAAAGAAGACTGGGAATTAGCACAAAGAGTGGTAACGATGGAGAAAATCCATTGGGCCATTCATAGTTTACAACCCTATAAGGCAGCAGGACCTGACGACTTATTCCCGTCACTTCTACAAAATGGGGGGGGGGGGGTAAAGTCCTAACAGTCAGACTTGTTGCCATAATGAGAGCATGTCTGGCTCTTAAATATGTTCCTAGGGGATGCAGGGAAGTGAAAGTCACGTTCATACCCAAACCAGGTAAGAACGACTATACAGACCCTAAATCCTACAGACCTATTAGCCTCACATTCTTTCTCCTAAAGACGATGGAGAGGATGTGTGAATGGGAGTTGAGAGGGTCGGCGCTAATTAACTTACCGCTACACGAAAAACAACACGCCTATAGCTTAGGTAAATCAACAGAATCGGCACTTCACCATGTAATAACAAAGATTGAAGAGATATATAGATAGATATATAGAAGGTGTTTTTGACAGAACAAATTTCTCCAGCATAAAAGGTGCCCTAAGTAGACATAATGTTGAACCGGCACTGATTGACTGGATAGTAAACATGCTCAGTACACGAACAATAAAGATTGCAAGTGAATCTCAGACAATTCAGATCATGAAAGGGTGCCCGCAGGGTGGGGTTCTTTCACCTCTCCTGTGGAATATGGTCATTAATGAACTCATCAGCAAATTAAACGCTAACCATTTCTACACAGTCGGTTATGCAGATGATCTGACAATACCGGTCTCTGGTAAGACAGCAAGCATTGTGTGCGACCTGACCCAAGCGGCTCTCCGTATTGTGGAGAGATGGTGCAGGGAATATGACCTAACCGTTAATCCAAATAAAACGGTTATAGTAATGTTCACACAAAACGAATGCTGAATAACTATCATCTTAACTCCGCCATTGCCGGTCCCAAGCCCGGATGAGAAAGGAGGAGGGGACGGTTCCGCCGGAGAGAGTAGGTGTATCCGGTGGACTAACACACCCACCTGCGCTAGGACCTGCGCAGTCGAGCGCCGTACGCGGGGATGAAGGAGTCCTGGAGGGTTGAGCCGATCGTCGCTGGGGTATATAGTGGCGAGAGGCAACACGCCCTCTTTGGTCCGGATTTCAAGCTAAACGGTGGCCCTATCTGCTAGCCACAGATAGGGAAATGGCCAAGCGCCCCGTCAGAGGGTTGCAGGCGAGGGATGTGGGGGCTGCCTAGTTTTCCTGAAAAGGGGGGCTGGGTGGTGGTAAAGGCCATGCTGACGGAGCAAGTGACAGTTTATTTGGGTGGTGGGGATGGGCCTTGTCAGCCCCATCTACCAGCTGGATCGAGCTCCCGATGTCGCACTGTGAGCCAACTTCGCGTCCCTATATTCTCCCGGTAATCCTAACGCCTGAAATTCTTTAGGGCGTTCCCAAAGGTGTGGGCTCCATGGAGGGTGGGAAGCCGGGGGGGATGAATTTTAAAGAACAAATATTATGGACAATTTA